TTACCATGCCGCCGGCATACCTTTGAGCGCCATCGTCGGAGACCCAAAGGGAGTCCCGATTCAGCAGACCATATACAGAGACACTCCGGCACCGTTCATTTGCCTCCACTGTGGAAATACAGGGCTGACTGTCGTCAAGTATGTCTCTAATTTCCCCTTCGTCTGCTTGAGCTCTTTCAACAGTTTTTACTTAATTTTACAGATTTTAGCTTTAAACTTTCGGTAATAACAGATCACCAGCCATTTCTGTGATATCTTAAGGATTACAATTACAAATATTTCAGATGCATATAGTTTATGATCTACAATCTAATTGATTTCATTATTCAAATGTGGTTTGGCTAAGAATGGTTTTTTTTCAACAGGGCTGACTATGTGTTTTTATTTCAATCTGTAAGACTGTTTCGGTTCAATACCCCTGTCTAAATATATCTATTCATGTTAGCAAACCCCAACCTCTTTTGGGAATAAGGCTGGAATGTTTTGGGAATTACTGGTTTGCGATGCTTAATTCAATCCTACAATGAGTTGCTCTTTCTAATCAGATATTAATCGGATCTTTTATAGGGGCCTTTATGTCAAAAGTATCTATGGAAGAAATCATTCAACTTTAGTTTTACTTGATAAACTATGGGGTGTTCGGAACTGATTCTGCTTCTACTTCTTTGATAAAGTAGAATAAGAATCAGTTTGAAACTGGTCTCCCCCAACTTGTAAAAAAACTGATTTTAGGAGTAAATTAGAGCACCAGAATCACTTCTGCACTTTCACCCAAACACTCCAACTTATGCTTCTGCTCCCTGAAGGAGTAGAAGCAGATTTAAGAATCAGATCCAAAAACCCCTAAGTCTCTAGATCTCTGGAAAAGGGTTAAAGAGCTCATACATGCTTCTTAGAACTTTGTGAGGCTTAAAAGAAGCAAAGCCTTTATTTGTACTTCACTGATAATAGCAAATCAGTTCTAATATTAGGACTTCCTGTGTTGCATTTCGAATGCCTTAGTTACAATTCACTGGTCAAATTCCATTCTTAACTTATCCTTTAATATCCTTCTTTATTATAGTCACAAGTTATGACACAACTTGATTGTACACACTTACGGTAGTATTTATATATTCGCTTAGTTTTTTACTCTGAATTGCATATTCCAAAAACTAAATAGGCTTTTTTTCAAGCTTCCCTCGTTGCTCGAGTAACACAAGTAAAAGTGGATGGAGGGATGAATGTATAATATGAAGTATTATGAAGGCTATTGTTCTTGTTTGCCCCCCTAGCCCTCCCACTTAACATGCCAATGTTCATGTTTTGTGTACACCGCAGGTCAAAACCAAGTTTAGCAGCTTGTGTTGCATGTATGATGCCAATGATGCTTGGAGTTTGCTTTCTCTGCCCTTCAATGGATTGTCTTTGGCATAAATACCATTACTGTCCAACTTGCAACGAAAAAGTGAGCAGCTTTTGTTAACTCATGAATCTCTTTTCACGTCATTCATGAACATCATTAGTCGGATCATACTACATCGAGTAAATATAGAAGTACAAGTCAGTCATGTATAAAGAAAATCAATAAATATAAAAGTTCATATTAAAAATATAAACAATTCATGTACGCGTGGCTAACACTTAATTTTTATGTGCAGGTTGCTGATTTTGAGAAATCGGATCCTTGTATAGTTGTCGACCCTCCACAGTGGTCGCAAGAAAGTTTTGCCTTACCTGCAGTTTGATTCTTTGTTTATGCTCATATCCCTGTATATTTGATTCTCCACACATACAAATATTGTAATATTCTAATATCAAAGTTATCTTTTCTGCTCAAGAAAACTGGATGTACTACTTACTTCCCAACTGTTTTGAGTATGCAAAACTTTATATCATATGGCTATATGTAGAACATATGTGATAGGGGTGGGCAAATGGGTCTTGGAACCGCGGTCCGGTTCGGGTAATGGCGGTTCGGGTCCAAAACGGGCCGGTTCCATTTTTTGTTTCCATAAAACGGTCCGGGTAGGGTCGGGTAATTTTTTTAAGGAACCGGACCGGTTCCAAAATTAAAAAATAACGGGTACCCGGCCCGGCCCGTTATATATATTGTATATTGATTTATTAATAGTTTTGTGATAATCGGTTTTGAAGTAGTTTTGTTTCCTGTGCTAGAAGTAGGATTTTAAATTGAGTTGCAGTAACATCCTTTTGTTTTCAAATTATTGATTAAATGTTTCATTAATATCTTATTACTTTTTATTGTTATTGAATTATTCCTTTCTATGGAATTTAATTATTTGTTAAAGATGATTTTGTTATATTATTTTTATGGGCTTTTTACGAGAATATTACTAAAATAAAACTTATTTATATAAATATGAATATTCATTACTACAACGTAGTGCTGTGGTAATTAAAGTTCAAAACTTGAACATGAATTACTATGATTTCATTACTACTCTAGTAATGAATCATATTTTTGTAAATCATCTTTATTTTGGTCATATTTATGTAATTATTTCTATTTTTATTATATTGTTATTAAAATATATAAATTGTGTTTACCACCCACCATGTATGTGTCAACTTTGGCTAATACTGAAAATTTAATATATAAAAAAGTAATCACTTTAATATGTGATGTTACACAACATGTTTAAATACAAATGTTAGAAAATAAGTATTTTGGCTATGTTGCATATTTTTGGAATTTCTTTAATTGTTTGAAACTTATATACAAGAAAATATGGAGTATTGGACTTTTTCGCTTGCATTGTGTTATATATGCACCACTATGTTGTTATTTTGAAACTTGCTAATGTCCTATATTATTGATTATTGATTTTTGGAACTTCGTTAGTTTTTACTAATTTCAAGACATAAGAATAGAAACCGTAAAACCCGGACCGGACCGACCCGTTTCAAACGGGCCGGGTAATTACCGGTTCCTATTTTGAAAATTGTAATACCCGAACCGGACCGAACCGTACAATGGAACCGGCGGTTCCATTTTATTTTGCATTACCCCGCCCCGACCCGGCCCGTGCCCAGCCCTAATATGTGATATGTTGTTGACATATCACACCACAAATTCTGATTATCTCTTTTTTTTTTCCACAAACACTCCCAAAAGACCATGTTAGATGATTTAATAAAAATATAAGGAGTCATATATGATTTCTTATGGTGTCATATGACCTCCCCTCATTTAGGGGTGGAACTGGGTCAGGCCTGGTCCCGACTGGTCCTGATTCTTAGTATTTAAAGCTCGGTACCTACCCGGTTTGGACCGATACCGGGTAAGCCCAAACAGTACCGGGCCTGGGTCGGGCCCGGGCTTGTACCCGCCAATTTTTTTTTTAAATTCTAGCCATTTCCCCTGGACCAAGCCCCAAAATTCAAGCCCGTAGCCCGCCTCTGTATATGTTCAGGCCGGGACCAAGCTGTTACCGTACCGGAAAACCAGGCTAGTACCAAGCAGTACCGGTCTCGGTCGGTCCCGGGTTGGGCTGCCCGGGCCCAGTCCACCCCCTATAAAAATGTATGCTGAGAAGGGAGCCATACAGGCTCATATGACTATAAAGGGGATTACTCAAAATTTTTCGATTTACTATGAGTAAGTTTGAAAAGGGAGCTACTATATAAATTCGTTAAATGTTTGCATATTTATTTACTTATGTAGTATTTATTTATTCTTAGCTGTGACATTTATAAAAGAATAGATCAAAGTGAGTAAATCAGCAAATGTAAAACTTCTATGAAATCAGGACAAGACTCCTAAAAAGATGAGATTTTAGATCCTAAACAAGGATTAAAAGTATTTAAAATTACTTTTTTGGGAGTAAATGGGATTTAATTTTGGGAGAGGCAATGATGATCTCATTTTATAATATGTTTTGGTTTTTACTCATACTGGAGAAGGCTTGTTGGTCAAAGCTAACCACAATTCATGCTTGTAGGGAAAAAGCATGAGTTATGCCGCACGATATAGATCACTATACCAAATAACCATGTCAAAATTCCTTTCCTCCTTTTCTAAATTCTAATACGCTTATATATAGATACATGTATAGAGTCTTGATACTATTCTCTGCTTATGGTTCTTTAGCTTTGCTGAGAACTAATTTGCTTTAGTCACTTGAGGAAATGTATTGATACCACGCAAAGTGGGGTGGTGTGATTGATACTCTATTCTCAAAATCTTAGCAGTTTTGAGTTCAAATCACCGAGGACGTGAAACACAGGATTTTTCAGTTATTGGTTCTCTAGGCGACTAGGCTCTAGCCTGTAGAGGAAGCGTAGTTATACATTAACAATTGATTAAAAAGCATTAAATTTGTGCAAGAGGCCAAGAGGGAGTACATAAAGTAGACCACTAAAGTATACTCCGTATATTACAACATATAATAGCAGACTACTAGTGATAAAATTCAGGAGTAGATCAATGAGTATATGCTTATGATTAGGTAGAATAAAAAACGAATATGTACTCCTACCATATTTTGAAATTTGAAGTGGTCATTGTGGTTTGAAGTACACTTTCTCACATGGTAGCGAAAGGAATACTTCGAGGGGTAAAGAGATAATTCATGTAAAAAGAAAAAGGTGTTGAATGTAAGTATGGGTAAGATTTTGGCTCAGGTTATCTAAAATCCAGTTCTCATATTAGTCTTTGCATCACTTAGGATGTTTTCTTTTGGACTCGAATTTGCAGGTCCGATCTAGACTGAACTGGTCTGATAATTGTCTGATCTCTGTGTATTTTATAACTACGGAAGTCTGGTCTGATCTGATCCGGTTTGGTCTGATCTGGTCTGGTCTAGGACTGAAAACAATCCAAAAGAAAACATCCTTATTTCACCTAATTCAAAGGCATCAGCTAATATATATTTCATAACTTTTTATGACTTCACAAAGGAGCATGCCTTCCGAAAGGAGCTCAATGCCTCAATAGCAGGATGAGTACTAAACCTTCTCTAGTAAGGGAAGGGTATTCTCATGATCCCACTCATGATCTCTCACTAAGATGAATCTGTTCAACCCATTCAACGAAACAATTCATCCATCTCAATATAACATGAGTTGTTCTTGGTGTGGTCAAATCAAAAGTGTACACTCGTCTGTGTACATAGATTATTGCTGACTTTTTTCTAAACGAGTTGATTGTGTAACTTGGAGGGTGTACACAAAAAGTGTACATTTTTTGGGCACTTCTAGTTTTTTCATATAACATAGAGGACCCAAATCAGGCAGAAACTCAGAACATCAATTTCCCAACTCTTCAACCCGTGAAATGCAATCTCTTTCTGAGCATGAAGATCCAAATCACCAGAACATAACTCCGCTTCCTCTCCCACATGAGAGAAAGTGGACAAAGGCTCATCCTCCAGAACTTATAATTGGTGATCCATCTTGATGAGTAAGAACAAGACATAATCTGCAAATGAATGTTTGTTGTCATGTTTTCTAAGCCAAAAACAACCTATCATAAAAAAAAAGCCAAAACCAACCTTCAAGGGGAATAGAGTATGATGAAACATTTTCTCTTGTTGCTAGAATTAAAGCAATATAATTCGCCTCTTTCAAACATATGTGACACAAAAACTTCAGAGTGTATCAAATGAATGTGAAAACTCTTTTTTGAACAGAGTCTTGAAAGAAGAAGTCTATGTCTTTCAACTCGAAGGATTTGTTGACACATATGGGCCCAATGATGTCTACAAGTTGAAAAAAGTTCTATACGGCCAAAAGCAAGCTCCAAGGGTATGAAGCTTTGTTCGACTTTCTTGTTGAATCTGGTGGCAAAATTAACACCACCTCTTCATAGAGCGACAAAAGAATGACATCATGATGATCGAGATATATGTTGATGACATCATTTTCCCCTCATCCAATCTAAACTTCTACAAAAAAAATTAGCAAACTGATGCAGACCAAGTATGAAATAAGCATGATAGGAGAATTAAACTTCTTTCTCGATCTACAAATCAGACAGTTGCCAGACATGATCTTCATTAATCAAGCAAAGTGCATTCATGATATATTGAACATGTTCAAGATGGATAATAAGACAACCATAAGAACACACATGTCTCCCTCAAGTAAGCTTGACTCAGACCCTTTTAGGAAACCAATCGACGTTACAAATTATAGGGCGATCATCGGTTCCTTGTTTTACCTTACCTCAAGAAGACCCGACACTTACCTTTCTGTGCGCTCTCTTTCAAGCAAATCCATAAAAACTTCATCTAACAGTAGTGAAAAGAATCTTGAGATACTTCAAGGGCACATTGAATTTGGGCCTTTGGTACCTCCAAGAACTCAGGGTTTGACCTAATTGGTTATTCTTATTCAGATTTTGCAGGTTGCAAAATGGATAGGAAAAGCACCTCGGGCAGTGCTCAATTTTCGGGAGAAAAGTTAGTCTGTTAGTCCTCCAAGAAACAAATTTGTGTGTCAACCTCTACGGCCGAGACAGAATATGTTGTGGCTGCTAGTTGTTCACAAGTTCAATGGATGATGACGCAATTGAAAGACTACTGTTTGACATTTTCACATATCCCCAGTTAATTACAATGACTCTGAAAGTGCTATAGCGGATCACATGCAATCCTGCCCACCACTCACGAACTAAACACATCGATCTTTCCTGCCATTTATAAAGTATCACGTTGAGAAAGGCACATTTGACATGTGCTTTAATTTGTGTCTATTGAGCTTCAACCCGCAGACATTTTTACCAATGTGTTGGATGAAAAGAGATTCAATTTTGTTGTTGTTGTCTAACTTAGGAATGTACCCTGCTAGCCACTGCCTCCTAGGCACGGTGCCACGCACGGCGTGCCTGAGGGCGTGCCTGGCCGAATTCTCTTGGAGAGCCACTGCCTCCTAGGCACGGTGCCACGCACGGCGTGCCTGAGGGCGTGCCTGGCCGAATTCTCTTGGAGAGCCACTGCCTCCCAGGCACGGTGCCACGCACGGCGTGCCTGAGGGCGTGCCTGGCCGAATTCTCTTGGAGAGCCACTGCCTGCCAGGCACGGTGCCACGCACGACGTGCCTGAGGGCGTGCCTGGCCGAATTCTCTTGGAGAGCCACTGCCTCCCAGGCACGGTGCCACGCACGGCGTGCCTGAGGGCGTGCCTGGCCGAATTCTCTTGGAGAGCCACTGCCTCCCAGGCACGGTGCCACGCACGGCGTGCCTGAGGGCGTGCCCGGCCGGCAGTGGCTGTTTTCAGCCTGATTTGGCCTAACTCACCCGGTTTGACCCCGGGGTGGCCCGCACTCAATCCTAACGACGTATATGATCAAAGTAAGCCTAGAAATGCCCAGAATAAGTGTATTACCTGCGACGGAGTCCGGGTTTTCCCGCGCATCCGCCTCGGTCATCGCGTAGACCCTTGCTTGGGCCCCGCCTTGATTTACGGACGCGGCATGGCTTGTTGAAGCGCCACCTCTTCTCGTGCCGCCGTTTGACGGTCCCGCACAGTTCCTCCCCGTCGTAGTCCCTTCTCCAGTTCCCGGAGCTCCTCCTCCCCCTAGTTGTGGGCAATTGGCCTTCATGTGGCCCGTGTTCCCACATTGATAACACCTAGGGGGTGCATTGCACTTCCCAAAATGATTTTTCGAGCAATTGGCACACTTTGGAGGCCCCGTCCTTAGGGAGGAGGATGCATGCCACCGAGCATCCCTGTTCTTCTTTGCCGGTGGTGCCGGTGTCTTGAACGAACCACCACCCCCACCGTGTTTATCTTTCCGTGCTTGCTCGGGCGGCCCCGAACCATGCCATTTCCTCTTTTTCGCCTCTTCGGCGTCTCTCTCTTTTCTTTCATTCCATTGGGCCTCCCCAAGAAGGCCCTGCTCCACCACCTCGCTAAAGGTCATGTGGCGCGAGTACGTGGCCCGATCACGGATGTCTAAGAGTAAGGCATCCCAAAAGTGCTCCGTCATGCGGTTCTCATCAACCGCGTACTCCGGCAAGAACCTAGCCAAGGTTCTAAAGTCTTGTTCCAATTGTTTCACTGTGCCACCATCTTTCTGCTTGAGGTTAGTGTACTCCCTCCGTTTCACATTCACCTCATACTCGGAGTAGTATTGAGCATAGAACTCTAGCTCAAAATCCGCCCATGATATTTCCCCATGGTACTTCCCTTCCACGCTCTCCCACCACCTAGAAGCTATCCCTTCAAGTAGCCGTGAAGCGACAGTCAACTTCACGTCCGGTGTGATTTGCATGTCTCTTGATGCATCCTTCACCTTCTTAATCCAATCGGCGGCAACGGTAATGTCACCGGTGCCGTCAAAGGACCTACACCCCAAGGCCCTAGCCTCCTTGAGGTACTTGGAGATTCTCACAACAAAACCTCCTTCACGCCCACCTTGTGACGCCGCTGGGGTGGCCACGGAAGCTCCCCGGCTTCCTTGACCCGAACCACCACGAGAGCCACGCCTCGCTTGGCGCCTAAGGTCTCTCCTCAGTTTCTCCTTTTGATACCACTCAAGTAATTCACCCATTTGGGCGAATCGGGCATCACTCTCATCGTCATCATCGGTGTATGTGTCCCCCCCATCATACGGGGTCTCCTCATGCTCCGTTTCTGGAACGTAGGTTGAGTCATAGTCCTCGGTGTTGGTTTCATACACCGAGCTTACATGGCCATCACTCACAGTTTGAGCTTGATGACCTCCACGGCTTCCACGGCCTCCACGGCCTCCTTTTGAACCCCGAGATGTAGCCCGGCTTCCTCTTTGGGATGCTACCGGCGCCTGCCCCCTCGGATTGTTCCTGGTTGCCATTCGCCTGCCCTCCATTTCTGAAAGAAATATGGATGAGTCATTAGACCCCTATAAATGTCAATGGACGGAAGAACGTTACAGACACGTATTGGCCCAAGTCACTACCATACCAATTGTTAAGGGTACCGTCTTAACAATTAGAGGCCTTGCAACTTAAGCTCCAATAGTCCCATAAACGTCAAAATACAATGCTCATGGTTTTCGGTAAAAACTCTTTTGTAAAATCTTATGTGAGAGGTTGATTATATAGTTTAGAACTGAGATCGCTCTGATACCACTTAATTGTCACGCCCCAGACTGCAATCCAAGCGCGTGCACAACCGCCGTATAATCGAGTGACGTCACCCGAGAGTCAACCTCACTTAATTACACAAGGCGTTCGAGAAAATAATCCATCCATACTCAGTAGTAAACATACATAACAACATCACATTTAAACCAATGAATAGCGGAAATATTCAACGGTAAGTCATGAACCACAACCGGCCAACAACATGGGCATGCAAGCCCCAAAAATAGTTTATAGTACAACAAATATCCATGGGCAAGTGTTTGGTAGTTTGAAAAAAAATAAGGAAGCACGAACCATGTCTTCCTGATTTGATATCACCCGTGAGAAGGTGCAAGTAGCAAGCCCTAGATTCAACCTGAAAATGGTGGGGCCCCCCGAAGGGGTCAGTACAAGTACCGAGCGAGTAGCAGGCTAAATATAGAATAACTAGCGATTCAAGTATAAGACCCAAACATAGGGTGATACTTAAATAAATAGTCTTCCCCCCAAGTTATGAAATACTTATTAGTATATATACACTTGGAAAAATATCCGATCCGTAGATCACTGTTTTATTTGGGAAAAATAGTAATAGTCAATATTCTTGACTAAAAAACTCAACCCACCCATATACCTATGAGTGTATAGGACTCTTCCTTGTCCCTATTTCAATATCAAAATCTATGAGTTTTGAGGATAATAATCCTTGGGTACTCCACCGGTTTGTGAGTGTTAAGGACTCATCAGAGGCGTCTTCAGAACTCTGGAGGCCCCAGACGAAAAACACTTAATATTGACATATCATATTAATGTGATTTTTATAGCACAAAAGACAAAAAAAAAAGATTAATTGAATAAAAATACAAAATGTGAAAAAAATGCATATTCAAAAAGTAGTGAACATCAAAATAATAAAAATTTTAAATGTAAACATACGCAAAATGGACCAAAACTTACACTTCCTCTGCCCCGGGTAAACATTATCATTTGTCTCTTTTGGACGTCCTTTTAAAAATTTGTCATTCTCATTTTAATTTTAGAATATAGTTAACTCTTTTATGACAATATAGCCATCAACAACAACAACATACAAGCCTTATTTCCAAAAGATTTTGAGGTCGGCTAAGAATATAACCATCACATATTAAAATTAATACTCTCATAACAACACACTTCTAATCCATTACTCCATTATATATATTATATACTTTCCCAAATTATTTCTTAAACTACTCCCTCCGTCCCACTAACAATGGGACAAGAGGGAGTAACACGCAAACCAATAAAAATGTTGTATGTGGTTGATATTGAATTGATAAAGTAAGAATAAAGTCAAATTGATTTAAAGTCACACAAACTTTACTAAAGTTGATATGAGAGAATCTTAGTAGTACTTCTAAATTTTAAATCCCTACAGTTCTTGATTTTTGTTTGCCCCAGTAACATATTTACAAAAAATAAAACATAAAGCAGTTAACAAATCACAAATACAACAATAATCAGTGAAAATAAAAATAACTAAATAATTGTGTCCATCCAAGTGATCCAACTAATTAAACATTACTTCAATTTATATGGTGGCTAGCTAGTGGCTATGAGCCTGCCAATTAATTAGAGCTAAAATCACTTTATCTATCTTTGCACTACCAATAGATATATTTGCTTCCAAACCATTAAAATGAAAATAGACATTTTATACTATTAATAATTTTTTTGAGGCCCCACTAAAATATGAGGCCCAAGGCATTTGCCTTGGGTAACTCCCCATATAGCCGCCCCTGGGACTCATAAGTCCTAGGGTCCTCCACCAAGTTTTGAGTGTTAAGTACTTTTAAGTATTAGGGTCCTCCACCAAGTTTGAGTGTTAAGGACTTTTAAGTCCTAGGGTCCTCCACCAAGTTTGAGTGTTAAGTACTTTTAAGTACTAGGGTCCTCCACCAAATTTTGAGTGTTAAGGACTTTTAAGTCCTAGGGTCCTCCACCAAATTTTGAGTGTTAAGTACTTTTAAGTACTAGGGTCCTCCACCAAGTTTTGAGTGTTAAGTACTTTTAAGTACTAGGGTCCTCCACCAAGTTTTCCTATGATCAACCTCCTATCAACCTAGATAGAGTCTATATCATACTTAGTCATTCATAACTAGTTCAATGCATAAAACTTATGTATCACAATCCATGCAAAGCCATGCAATTATATAAATGTACAACTAACTAATATCAACCGATATTGATTAATTCATTATCCATCGGTCAACGTTGTCGTTGACCGCCATTCAAGCCTTGTACATATCAACTTAATCATCATATAATTAAGTTAATAATAATCATTTGTGCTTCTTTTACACTTCCAACAAATATGCAATTCAACTTATTTCTCATATCATATTTCATGTATAAACAATTAATTCCTTTCATACAAACTTATCTATGTTGGCTAATCACATGTTTAAATATCTTTTAAACATCATTATGAACACATATACTATCCTCCGTTCTCTTTTAATCGCAACATTGGACTTTTTACACTATTCACATATTCTACTTTGACTATATTTTATTCATGAATGTATTATAAATAAAAAATTTTAAAAATATTATTAAATTCTTCTCATTCTAAAATTTCAAAATATGAATTTTTTGAATTTTTTACTAATAAGGAATGAAAGATATTAATGGTCAAACTTGTGCGTTGGCAAACGTGAAATGTTGACTGTTGCAATTAAAAGGGAACAGAGGAAGTAACATTTATTTAGGTAATCTTATAATTAACCCAAAAGTTATACGATATTAAGTCGTCCACTCACCTTGAACTAGCGTTATGAAGTTCTACCCTTCTTGGTTGAACTCCGGTGAAACTCCGGTGACTTTTCCAACTTTGTGAAATCACTTGAAATACCCTTTACAAGTGCCTAACAAGGTTTTATAATCATAAAACCCATATTAATACACATAACCTCTAAAAGGCTATTTTCCGGTGAACCGGTCGTTTTGGCTTCTAAGTCCGTTCTTGGACGTAGAACCACCTTTCAACCCATAAATCCATACTTATAACATGTGGAACCATACTAAAGGTCCTTTACATGATATATACCTCGTATGGTAGAAGAAAAATAAAGAAGAAGGTATAACAAGGTCATTACCTTAATTATTTCACACTTTTAGCACTTTAGCTCCTTTTCTTGGGATTTCTTCTTGTTGAGCTTTCTTCAACAATGGGGAAAAAGGCTGGATGGTTTTTGCTCTCCCTGGGTTTCTCTTGGCCGAAAATGAGGGAGGGAGAGGGGTGAGGCTTACCCATTTGTCTCATTGAACAAATGAGTGTGGGTGGGGCCACCTCATTTTTGTTTGATGCCATAAAGATCATATCAAAGCCTCCTCCCATGCTTCTCTTCTCTTACCAGCCGGCCAACCCCTCCAATTTGAGTGGCAAAAACGTGGGTTGGCCCCCACTAATGTGGGAGGTCAACCCTTTTTGTCCCGTACAATCGGTCCCGAAAGTTGTATTTTTCGGACTGTTTTAAATATATTTTATTTTATCGGGTCAAATAAAATATATTTTGTGCTCTTACTCATTATGACATGTATAATGAATATACATTCCCCAACTTTAATTTATAAGTCTCCGAAATTCAGTTCGGGCTGTTATTTGTTAAATTACCAGTACCGGTAATTTGGGCTTCTTTTGACCAATCGGTCAACTCCGGGCCTTTCCATGGCCCAAATGAAATATCCACCACTATATATTTATTATCTAGACCAAGATGAATAAAATATATGGTCTCGGGAAAGTCGGGCGGCCCCCGCTCCCGGTGTGGGTCCCACGTGCAATTTACTATTCACGCGAAAGAATAAATAAAAGTTTACAACTTCGTAAATTCATACATCATTCCATAAGGTTTATTACATCATTTACGTAAAAGTAAATACATTTGGGGACGGTGTTACAGACTCTTCCAGTGTTCTTCTACTGCAAATGTAGAATAATTTTGCCTTCTTTGAGAATTTTGAGTTTGTTTATAATTTGCAAGATACATAGTGTTAAAATAAAGAGTAAAATTAATGGCTTTGGAAACTGGACAAGCTTTTTCTTGAATCCTCTGCGGTCTGGAAACTCTAGCTTAGGGATCCTTCTTAGGATTTATTAAACTAAATTAAATCATAATGTGGGTGGCAGCTAATCTAAGAGGTATATTAGACTAATGTATATATATAAATAAGTATTAACGGGTCGGGTCCTAAACGGGTCGGAACTACATATACCATACCCGACCCATTAAATAACGGGTCCGGATCCGGGTCCGGATAACGGAATTAAATGTAGACCCATACCCACTAAAAAAAGACGGATCCGGGTCGGGTTCGGGTCTAGACCCGACCCATTGATAGGCCTAGGTGGTTGGAAGGATGTGGGATGGGGAATATTTCTGTTTGGTTTACTATTGAGGTGTAAAGTCTCATGTATGACCCTTTCAAAAAAAAAAGTCTCATGTATGATGGCGGGGCACTGTAATCTAGGCCGAGTCGGTTCACAGATTCTGTTGTCTCTAATCAACGTCAAAAATGAAGCTCCATCCTTACTGTTATGCAAACAAACAAAGCAAAAAAACAGTCAAAGCCCATTTACGTAGATATAAGTAACACTCCTTCCTTATTTTATTACTAATACATTATTTCTTCGAAAAATTGAATAATACAGAAAAAGACACAAATTAAACTTGCAGATTACGACTTCTTTAACAAATGCGATTGTTAATGTCACAATATTTTAGATTGTTATTTGCATTTAATATGATCAATAATAGTAGGACTTGAGTTTAATTTCTAGAAAGAATGACAAAAAAATAGAACTTTGAGGTTTTGATAGGACAAAAATAGGACCAAAATTTCTTGTAGACAAAAAAGGACTAAAAATTTGTAAACTGGCTTATTTGCCCTCAAACTTGAGGAAATCTTGTTGCACTGCGGAATAAAGCCCTATCTGCGCTCCTCCTTCAGCGAAGAAAGCCCTTATTGTCGACTCTTAATTAGTTAACAGCTTTGCTATAAGTACCCCAAAATGGGGTGCCCCATTTGTCACCCACCTTAATGAGTGGTCATAAATGAGGCAACCCATTTAAGTGGTGCCCCACATAAATGAGTTGCCTCATTTATGGCCACCCATTAGGGTGGGGGACAAATGGGGTACCCCATTTTGGAGTACCTTTATCTTTTTTCATTAGTTAATTAGGCTGTGTTTACAAATGGTTGAAAATAGAAGTAGATAGTGTTTTTGAAAAATGTGATTATTGGAAAAATGTTTTATAGTAAAAGTAGATAGTGTTTGAAAATAGAAGTTATTTTAATTAAAAAGTAAAAGTTGAAGTTTTTGAAAAAAAAATAATATTTAAGGTACTATATTATTAAAAGACAAAAATATCTCCTGTTGATTGGAAAGGCAGAGAAAGCGTATTTGCCGTCGTTGGTCTTGCGCCTTTGGAAATTGCAGGGGAATTGTATTCTGGTGACCACTGTATGAAGTCATTTGCAACGCCTCGCCGAGCCGCCCGGTCGCCCTTGGTTTAATAGTTGTCTCCACCGTACTCTCACACACACACATGTATACTCAAAATTTCAATAAATTAATCAGCCCGTACTTCAATGAGGAACAGTTCCACAAAGAAGATATACCTGACATCTGAATGGATCCTTCTGACCAATGAAGGGGAGCCAGGGAGCTTTCGAGAAGCTCAATCTCATCAAGATAAGTCCAATTGGTGGAAAGCCATGGGAGATGAGATGAAATCCTTGCAGAAGAATCAAACTTATGACTTGGTCCACTTCCCAAAGGAAAGAAAGCCTTGAAAAACAAATGGGGTTTCGAGGTGAAGAAAAATGTCAAGGTGAAGCACAAGGCAAGACTCGTGGTCAAAAGATTCCAACAGAAGCAATGATTTGACTATGATGAGATTTATTCGCCGGTTGTGAAGATGATGTCGATTCGAGTTGTACTCGGGTTAGTTGTCAGTTGAAATCTTCAACTTGAACAAATGGATGTGAAAACAACATTTCTCCATGGTGACATGAAAGAAGAAATATACATGGAGCAGCCCGAGGATTTCCAAGTTCCAAAGAAAGAACATCTTGGTTGCAAGTTAAGTAAGAGTCTCTACGGTCTCAAGCAAGCCCCGAGGCAATGGTACAAGAAGTTCGACTCATTCATGGTGAAGCGCCAATACAAGAGAACAGTTGCAGACCACCGCGTGTACCTGAAGAAGTTCCTAGGTGGAAAACTTATCATCCTTTTGCTCTATGTGAATGATATGCTAGATGTGACCCTCATCAACAACTTGAAGCAAGATTTGTCTAAGTTTTTTTTATATGAAAGACGCGGGTCCAACAAAACAAATTTTAGGCATGGAAATTTATCGTGATCGGAAGGCAAGTAAGTTGTACTTATCACAAGAGGAGTATGTTGAACGCGTGATCAAAAGGTTCAACATGGATAGTGTCAAGCCTCTGGGCACTCCGATATCCAATCACTTCAAGTTGAGTAAGGAAAGTTGTCCTTCCTCTGACAAAGAAAGGGACATAATGAAAGCGGTGCCCTACTCTTCAACACTGAGAAGTTTGATGTATGCAATGGTGTGTACAAGACGTGATATTGATCACGTTGTTGGTGTTGTAAGCAGATACTTGTCATATCCAGGAAAAGAACATTAGGAAGTTGTCAAATGGACACTCGGGTATCTAAAGGGTATATATCAAAGCTATGTTTGTGCTACGGGGAACCGAAAACAATCTTGGAATGTTATACAGACGTTGATATGGCTAAAGATCTTGATAGTAAATAATCTACTTCAAGTTACAAATTCACATTAGCAGGGGGAGCAGTCTCGTGGCAATCCAAGTTACAAAGGTGTGTAACGTTGTCTACGACAGAAGCTGGATACATTGCCGCTGTTGAATTTGGGAAAGAGCTCAAGTGGCTGAAACGTTTTCTCCAAGAGTTGGGGTTTCCTCAACAGCAGTACATCATTCATTGTGATAGTCAGAGGGATATGGATCTCAGCAAGAACTCGATGTATCATTGACGCACAAAACACATTGATGTTCGATATCACTGGCTAAGAGAAGCAGATGAGGAAGATGAGCTGAAGCGCTCGAAAACACACACGGGCAGGAATGTCGCACACATGTTAACCAAAGTGGTAACACAAGAGAAGCACAAAATATGTACAAACATCGTTGGAATGAGCGAGCTACGAAAAAAGTTGGACGGAGAGATTTGTAAGATTGTTGCAGCTCCCATACACACACCTAGTGGCGGACTGTAGTAGAGACCCAGGGGGCCACCGCCCTTGCAAAAATAAAAAAAATTAGTGTGTGTGTGTGTATGAAAAATTATTTTGATTAAGACCTAGATTGTTTTTGTTTAAATTATGGCCCATGCAACATGAATTTCCTAGGTCCGCCCCTGCACACACAAGCAGATGTCTCCCAGCATTTTCCTATAAATAGGATTATTCTTGCTTGTTCAATAGCATAAAAGATCATAGAGAAAAGTGGTGAGTAAATACACTTGTAGTGTGAGTATATACGAGGGTTGATTTTTTGTAATAGTTAAGTGAGAGAGTTTATAATTTTGTTGTAGTTATGAATAGAAAATTTTCAATACTAACAACCCTATTATTTATGTAGCATGCTTATTCTCCTATTATTTCACGAGAAAGCTTATAAAGAAAAGATCTAACACAACAGCTACATCATCATAAACACATCAAATCCATACGAAATGAACGCGCGCAACTCTCAAACAACCCTAAACGGATGTGACTTGCCGTGAGGAGAATCCGAAACCCTTCAAAACCCAATTGGTCTATGAATTTGAGCGTCAGGGAACTGGATTCTGTAGGGGGAAATGGTCTTTTGAAGATTCCAAAGAAGAATCGTATCAATCTTACCAAAGATCATCATCATCACCATACGTTATTATTCTAGTGCGACTCCTCTAAAAGGTACTCCCTCCGTCCCTAAATTTACTTCCAACTTTCCCTTTTCGTCCGTCCCAAAAAGAACTTCACTTTCCCTTTTTGGCAAAGAATTTGTGGTTCACATCATTTCTCTCTCCTCTGCACAACTCTCCACCACACAATTCACACTTTCTTAATCGCCGTGCCACTTTAATTTGGAAGAACAATCAGGGACGGAGGTAGTATTCTCTTTCAAGAAAAGTTAATAGTGCAAGCATGTGCATCATCATCAGCAATTTCCTTTTTTTGTTCTCTTTTTGCTTTTCTTTTGCGGTAAATTCCAGCTTTGTTAGTGCCGTAAAGATGGAAGCTTTGTTACTGTCACGAAATCCTCCATTTAGCAGAGCACAAGGAAACTTGTTTTAAACATCATCTTTGTACATATGATGATAATAAGATGGGATTAATAACTTGATGCCCACTTTTTCTTTTCTCTTTTTTGAAATACTGTAATGTGGAAGAGAGTGAAATTGGGTGGAAAAAACAACATCAAGTTGGTTATTATTCTGACAAGATGAAATTCCAAATTAACAAGGTTTTCTCCTGAAGCTACTATTGCAGCAGCTGCTACTATCTTCTTCTTCTTCTGCGTGATCGTCTTCTGTTAGATGAAATGCCGAAACCACAGTTACCCCACTGGAGCCGGATGAGGAGGAAGCTGGAGCTACATTTAAATCTGCCCTTTCTCTTCTAGCTAAGAAATTGTAGAAAACTGGTTCGATTGTGTTAACTATATTCGCTGGTGCTACTCCCCTCATGTTCTCGATCCCATCTTCTCCCGTCTTCGCCCCTGCCCTCTTCTTCAAAAATATGCGGCAGATCACCCAGTTGTCCTGCACATAAATGAAGCCAAATATGCCTGAGCTAACCAAAATACTCCATATAAATCATCCAAACCCGATCAAACAATAGGTGATTCAGTGAGAAGTTTACCCACATGAAAATCCAAAAGAACCAACTAAAACCGACCCAAACATGCCACAACTACATGTTCAACACCAAACTAACCAACCAAAAACCAGCAAAACCAACTGGTGAATGCCTCTATGGCTCTACAGCTCTACTAATTAGCATGTTTGTAAAAAATATCACCCAACCTTAATCAATCTCGCATTGCCATTTTAAGCTCAAACTTGTTTAAATTTCCTTAACCCTGCTAATTTGCGCTTTAGTCCTATGATCACTAGTGTTTAAGGATGAAGATGACATGATGTTCAAGTTATTCAGTCTCAACTCAATCTTTTAGTATGATTTGATCAAAGTAGTTTATTATTCTATAGTATTCAACATTTTTTAGTGATTTGCCCAATGTAGCTTATGAATGACTCAGTTGAGCGTTTAATGCAATACTGATTTCTAACAATTATACTCTAAACTTCTCTTGACAGGGTGGAAGCAGCGGTTGGACAGATGAAAGGCGAGATTAGACGAGGTCAATTTGGGAAAACAAAACAAGGTGAGCAAGAGTGAACTCTCTTCACCTTATTGTTGATTGGGGAATTGGCAAGGCGATATTCATGCATGATCCAGTCGGTCCTGGAGCCACGGGGGGCTTTGCCTTGGTAAAAAACAAGGGTCTTCTTCATCCCAACAACATGGTGTCCTCCTCTACAACTCACTACCTGTTTGTCAATCCCAGTGGCCTTCCAGTACCCAGAAACAGCTCCCCTGTTTGACCTGTTCCCATTCGAATACTTTGCCTCCCTAGTACTGAAAAAATACCTCTCTTGCTCCCAATCACCTGCAAAATCAAACTCTATCTTCAACTTCCCATACATTATTAATCTCCTCTCAAATAATAACTCTAGTCTAGGGGCTATTCTAATTCACCTTATAAATACTGCTCTCCTTCCAAAATGTGAGGCCACTTTAATCTTTTTATGAAAAGAAGCAAACCATAGTTCACTTTTAAAGATATTGTTTCAAGTGAATCTATTATGTCATACGGAGCACTATTTTTATAATTGTAAAGTAAAAAGGTGAAGTAGAAAAATTAAAAACCTGCTGGTATTCGAAATGAAAAAAACGAATATTTTTTATGAAAAATAAAAAAGAAAAATATGACAAATAAATTGAGGTATGGTAGTAACTACTTCGTAGTAACTACGGAGTAAGACATACTTTATCCCTCCCTGAAAGAAGACTTATAAGTTCTAACCTGCTTAATTTTTTATTTTTGAGAGACTAACCTGCTTTAATTCTAATCATACAGTTTTACTAATATTAACAAGCTTGTAAAATCAGATGGAAATAAGAGCATCGGAGTATAAGAGGAAACCTAGAGACATAAGCAAGCAATAAGGTAAGAAGTTCGCCGCCTCTTACATACATACATAACATAATAATGAGTTAGATAAGGGGGGGGGGGGGGGAGCTTGATTTTTAGCCATGGGAAAGTGAAGTAAGAAAAGCTAACCTGGCAAATCCCAAGGATCAGATTTGCAGAGGTCGATGACAGGGATGACGGTGGCCGGCAAAGGGAGGGAGAGCACCTTACGCTTCAAGTACTGTACCACCAGCTCCTCGTCGGTGGGGTGGAACCTGAAACCCGGGGGTAACCTCATCTGTCCATTCTTCACAAAGTTCACCTTCTCCATGTCCAAACCCCAAAAGCCAAAATCTTTCCAAGCGGAACACTGATCAGACACCTGTCTAATCTAAATCAAGAAAATTCAAGAAAAGTGATGCCAAGCCGAAGGGAATAGAATTGGAAAGGTGGGTGTGGGTAAGGTGAGACAGGGAAAGTATGGCCACTTTTATTTATAGGTAGTGTTGTACTAGTACACGTACGACATTTTACTCAGCAATTTATTAATGTTAAATTTATTTTTATGGATGTAGTCTTAATTATTATTATAGTAAATGTTGTACGGAATAGGTTATAAGATTTTCTTTGAATTGATTTTTGTTCCACAAGACTTAAATAAACAAGACAAAATCACAAAGACTTAAAAGGACTAGATTATATCATATCTGTACAATACACATAAATCAGACATGCATCATATCGGATCAGGAACATCTGTCATACTTCAAAGCAAGGAACAGTGTCCGGCTCTCGGGAACCATCCGACCAAAACATGGACGGTCGGAGATGTTGAAGTGCAGATCACGAGGTTTCTCTTCTCCCATCCGACGGTCCCATGTGCGTAAGGCACTCTGCCGTGCAGTAGAGGATCCCAATCTCATCAAAACAAATCATACCAGACTTAGACCAGAAAATTTCAATTCAAGTAAAAACTCCTAATATTACTCCCGAATCTAATTGATGGTAATATATTTTTGGGTTCAAATAATAAGAAAGTGAGATAAAATGACTCATATAACCTTACTTTCATTGTTCATTCCTTTATTTTTACTCTTCATTAAAAGGAATGACATAAATGATAATCCATTTTACTTTCCTTACCAAAAAGAGAAATAGGACTATCATTTTGAAACAACTCAAATAAAAAATATAGGATCACCATTTTGGGATGGAGAGAGTACATTATTCTTTAAAATGAGACTCATGATGTTTTTATTTGGACTGTAATCTGTCCCAGACCAGACTAGACCAGACTTGGATAATTATAAAAATACAAAGAGACCAGACATTACCAAACCAGACCAGTTCAGACAAGACCAGCAAATTGATTTATCCGGCTATCTCGTCGGATTTCCCTCACTTAAATCCGAGCTCTCACAGATCTATTCGTTCATTCCCCTTTCTTGACGAAAAATGAAGGCTACATGCTAACATGCACATTGGTTGCCTCCGTGCTTGCCGCTTCCACCGTGGCTCTCCTCGCCCCCGCCGGCGATAATGAGTCGAACATCAACCTATTTCCCAGCGAGGGGCTCTCATATTATCGCAACCCTCCATCACAACAGCTTCATCAAGTGTGGAGAAAATGGCCAATAGGGAGAAATTTGCTCCACGGTTTCATGGATTACGATTCATTGAGGCTCTAATTACAGCTCATAGGTGAACTTGGATTAGGTTCCAACAAATGGAGGTTGTTCGTTGTTAGGGGTATTGGGTAATTAGTTACTGGAAATTTCACCTTCATTCTTTTTGTATTGAACTTTGGCTGATATTATGCTGTGATTTGTTGATTGGTTGTTGTTCAAGGGACTGATCACTACATTGTTTACTTGATCTTTGTTCCTCTATGTGCCCTGATCTTCGTGGCTTATGCTTGAAATTCATGGTTTTGTGTTTTGGCCAACAAAATCTAAAATTGCACTAACATAAAAAAAAAAAAAGTGTTGATTGCACTAACATACTACGTATAAGTTTGTGCCAAAAAAAGTGTCTAATTCTAGTGAGAATGATACTTCTAGTAATGTTGTCCTTAATTAATTCATTTTGGTACACGTATATTGTTGATTTAGGTGCACATTCATGCTTGGCTCTGGGTACATTTTCTAAGATATAGTTTTCTAAATTATTTGCGAAATGACAACATGTTTTCTGATTTAACTATATATATTTTATTTCAGACAAACCTAATTATTAAACTTAACAGATCATATTCTTTATCTTTCCTCTCATTAGAATATTAGATCATATCCTCATTTGTATATAGTAGGGGTGAACAAAAAAACCGAAAAACCGAAACCGACCGCCAAACCGACCGAAACCGACCGACCAAAACCGAAACCGACCAAAACCGAAACCGACCAAAACCGAACCGATAAAACCGAAACCGACCGAAAGTGACTAATTCATCGGTTATTCGGTTTACGGTTCATACTTTTGACTTAAAAAACCGGTCAAATGAAAATAAACCGGCAAAAATGGGTAAAAATCGACAGAAAACGATACAAATTGACCAAAATTGACTCAATTTTTGCGGTCTGATTCTCGCTAAAACCGCCCGACTAAAAACCGAAACCGATCAAAACCGACCGACTAAAAACCGAAACCGACTAAAACCGAACCGATAAAACCGAAACCGCCAAAACCGAACCGACGAACACCCCTAGTATATAGTGTGTAGATTTAGATACACAAACTATATTATTAAATTATTTTAAAATATATTCATACTTTTCGAGGTAATACTCCGTATTTGTGTAGAGTCACTAAATAACTAAAACTCTTTTACTTTCTACCTCATATATCGAATAGAAACTTTTTTTTGTAAGTGAATGGAAACATATTTGGAAAATCAACATGTGGTCAAATTACACAATAAAATAAGAAAGGATTAATATACAACGTATTATTTAATTGCAAACTATCATCAAATTCACAAATATCTTATTCTTTCACTTTTATAAAAAAAAATGACCCAAAGCCCGTTTGGTAATCGTGTTCGATTTGTGCGCTCAATATTGTAATAATCAAAATGAGTAAAGTTGGAGTTACTTTTCTACCTGCATTGGCTGAAGTTACTGTAGAAGACTAGTTTAGTTATTTTTTTCATGTAATTTTTTCTTTATTTTATTAATGAAAAGTATTTTAAATATAATTTTTTTATAAATCAGCAGAATCAACCAATACAACTATTTAAGCCATACCTTCATAAATTTCATCAGAATCAGCCGATTCAGACAATTTCAATGTTACCAAACAGGCTCTCAAATTTTATCTTTTTGAACAATTTTGCTTTTCTTTGTTGTTTTTTCAAAATTACACATTTTTATCAACACCAATAAGATATAAGCAATACAAATTTGTAGACTTAAAACTAGAAAGACAAAGACATTTACCAGAGCAGTTCAGAATAGACAAAATCAAACTAAACTAGATCAGACAAATAAATTTCGGTCCAACTAAAAACATACTATGATATGAATCAGGCTATCTATTAAATGTAAGAGAAGTAGATAACGAGACTCATATGCTGAAAATTAACAGAGTAATAGAGAGGAGATAGATTGGGAAAGAAGACAATCAAGAATCAAGATATTCATATCATTTCTCCTGTACAACCGAAGCTATATAGACTGATTACAAGTTCAAAGTTAGCTCAGCTCAACAAACTAACTCAACAGACTCGCCACGTGTTCTATTTTGATAGCTTCTAATTACACGCATAACCCCTAACCACCCAAAATAAGAAATGATGATCTGGCAATCCATTTCAACTATATCAAATACTCCCTCCTTAAAGATTGACTTGTCCTCGAGTCATGCTGCTGTAAAACACTGGATACATCTTTTTTATAACATCTGACCATTCCCATGTAGCATCTTCAGGATTTTGGCCTTCCCATTGTATCAGGAACTTCACCCTTGCTGCATTAGCATACTGCACCAATTGTCTTTCCAAAATGGCTACAGGTTCTACTTTAGCATCACCCCATCTTCCATGTAACCATTCAGGTATATGGGCTTTAGCTGGTAATTCGCCCCTAAATCCTTTCAACTGGGACACATGAAATGTATGATGAATCTTAGCTTCGGCTGGTAGTACTAGTTGATAGGCCACCTTCCCTACCTTCTTACTTATCTGAAATGGGCCATAGTATTTAGGAGAAAGTTTATCATTAATTCTGTGTTCTACAGAATTCTGTCTGTAAGATTGAAGCTTAAGCCACACCCACTCTCCCACTTCATAATTTCTTTCAGACCTATGTTTATCAGCCTGTACTTTCATTCGATTCTGTGCTTTCAACAAGTGTGATCTAAGCACTTGAATCATGGCTTCTCTTTGCTGCATGGATCTATCAACTGTTTCTACCTTAGTCTCTCCAGCCATGTAAGGTAGATGCAAAGGAGGAGGTTGGTTATAGACAGCCTGATAAGGAGTCATTTTGATGGAGGAATGAAATGAGGTGTTATACCACCACTCAGCCAATGGTATCCATTTATGCCATTCTTCTGGTTTGTCACTACACATACACCTCAAATAGGTTTCAAGACACCTATTAACCACTTCAGTTTGCCCATCAGTTTGGGGGTGAAATGAAGTTGATAATAGCAAGTCTACTCCTTGTACACTAAATAGGGCAGTCCAAAAATTGCTGAGGAATACAGACCCCCTATCACTTACAATAGTCCTAGGCCATCCATGCAACTTAAACACATTATCTAGGTAAGCCTGTGCCACTTCAACTGCTGAAAAGGGGTGTTTTAAGGTAATAAAATGAGCATACTTACTCATTCTATCCACCACCACAAATATAACATCCCTTCCCCCTGATTTTGGTAATCCTTCAACAAAATCCATTGATATATCCATCCAAACCTCCTGGGGGATAGGTAAAGGCTGAAGCTTGCCAGGATATGCTGCATTATCATATTTGCAAGCTTGACAGATTATACAGGCTCTTATGAAAGCTTGTACTGATTTGTTCATACCCTTCCAATGAAATAAGTGTTTAATTCTTTGGATAGTGGCATCCCTTCCTGAATGTCCTCCCATAGGTGAACTGTGTGCCCATTGCAGAATTTTTTCTTTCACCAGCTCACATTTCCCAACCAGAATTTTACCTTTCTTTCTCACTAAATCATCCTGCCAAGTATAGGCATTGTTTCTATCATTAGAGTTTGTTTTCAGTTCTGTTATGAGTTGTTGTATCCTATCATCCCCTTCATAGCTCTTCTTTATTAGGTCCAAAAGATCAGAACTGATAGATGAAACGGCTAGACATAGCAATTCAGCTCCTGAAACTCTAGAGAGAGCATCTGCCACCTTGTTCTCAGTCCCACTCCTGTACTGAATTTCATATCTGAATCCCATCAATTTAGACAACCAAAACTGTTGGAATGGGGTAGAAATCTTCTGTTCCAACAGCCACTTCAGGCTTTTCTGATCAG